CCTCCCCCCTCACCTCCCCCAATTCCCGGCGCCGGCGTGGAATTTCCGACGGGAGGCGCCGCCAGATCCGGTGCAAAAGGGTAACTCTTCAACTCACACTGTAATTCCGATCTGTATCAATCAACAGTTTTAATCCCATCAACTGAACTCAACAAACCCAAAGAATTATTCTTCTTCTCAATAACATCATCTCTTTCTTCATCATCTTCATCTTCGTCATCTTCTTTTAGCTCCCTTTCTTCGGATTTCGGATCTTTGCTAGAAACGGTTTTTGGTTTGACCCGATTGAAGGATCCGAATTTGGGGGTAACTTCGGGAGTTGAGCAACCGGAGAATTTCGAGTCAAAGGAAAATGAAAACCCTAAATTAGTAGCTGAATTTACGGAATCGAATTTATCTAAAGCCGTGGGACAGTTTTTCCTTCTCTTGGGCTGACGTAAGCTGTCTGGATCTTCCTTATCGGGCTTCTCTTCACAACTTTCGGCGGCAGCCTGAGGTGGCGGATCATCGACGGTGTCCGGCGCCGGAGTTGAGCAGTTAGCTGCCGGAGAATGGTCGGCTTTTGGGTCTTCCATAGCTATCAGTTGTTTGTGGGGTGGGGAGGGGGNTGGACGGTTACCTACTTTTTATATGAAGGATTTTTCTGCAATCTTTTGATTGCTATTTAGTCCTTTTGCCACATATATATGTTTTGTTGGGAACATTATTAGTAATTGCGCAAAATTTTATGATAAGATATGTTAATCATATTTCTGTGATAAGTTAACTAATAAAATTTTAAAAGTTGATAATAATGTTTAACAACAACAACAACTCAGTATAATCCCATTAGTGGGGTCTGGGGAGGGTAGTGTGTACGCAGACCTTACCCCTACCATGAGGTAGAGAGACTGTTTCCAATAGACCCTCAACATCCTTCCCTCCAAGAACTCTCCACCTTGCTCTTGGGGTGACTCGAACTCACAACCTCTTGGTTGGAAGTAGAGGTTGATAATAATGTTTAAGTGTTCATATAATCACTTGAGAATGAATACTACAACAACGGCATCCGATGAGTTTTTACAAGTGAAATTTGGGAAAAATAGTGTGTACGCAGACCTTATCTCTACTCTTATGTGGTTTAAAGACCACTTGAGAATGAATAAGAGTTGAAATATTTGTCAGAAAATTGACTTCAACTCATAAGTAGGTAAGACAACATTTTAATTTTCTTCTTGATCAATTGGGTTCTACTCAGTACATTTGACTTGTGATCTCGGTCCAAAATTCAATGGGCTGTCCATTGTATTCAACGTCCCCTACCTATATGTTGGGTTGCTTCGGCAATCTGGATTAATGAAGCCATTAGTCCTCCACTATTTTTGGACTTAGATCAAAGCCCATAAGTTAAAGGGTTTAAAGAGCAGATCGACATCGAAAAATTTACCTAGCTATACTATAATAAAAATTTATTTACCACCTTTATTTATGTTCCTTATTAATTATTTTTTATATCTATATTTACAAGTTATATACAAAATCATAAAAAAGAAGAAAATTCAAGATCCCTTAAATTTAGCCTATCAGTTACACGACAACCACCCCAACTTCCAATAACCTTCCCTACATTTAAGATTATGTTTTTCCAAAAGATTTCAAAAATATTTTCTCTCTTTCCTAATAATCACCCAAAATCTCTCTTATTTTTTATACCCCTAAAAAAATTGCCGATTCTTTTCCTTTTTGAAAGGTCTTCAAACTCAATTTCTCTCTTTCTTACTGATCACCTACTATTTTTTTTTATTGATACAATGCAGACGAAATTCGGAATATTGCTCTAAAATCTTATTTTCTTTCTTTATTTTACCTTTCTTTCAAGCTTTACTATGTATTAACAATGGCTTCACTAATAATAAGAATCATTATATGACTTTTTTTTATAGAAATCTTCCCAAATAGCTATTTCTTAACTAAAATCTTACGGGTTGAACTTCGATTTGCAGCTGCTCTCTTCACTGATAGGTAAAAAAAAATCTGAATTATACGATAATTGTATCATATTTATTTTAGAATTGTATCACAACTTTATCAAAATTATATGTGATTTATATATAATACATCAATACCCAAAATAATACTTTATACAATACTAATACAGTTATAATACAATTATATTGATTTTTAGTGTAGAGTTGTGATTGAAACTTGAAGAAGATGAAGATCATTATTGTATCACAATTTTTCAGAAATGCATCACCATTGTATTATAATTGTATATGTATCATAATTGTTGCAAGAACTGTATTATAAATGTATGATAATTGTATATTCATTGTATATTGTTACGAGCAGTTGTGAGTTCGTGACCAATTTCACAGTTTGTATCACAAATATATGATAATTATATATTAATTTATTACTATTGTATCAGGTATTATTTTTGGTATTAATGTATCAGATACAAGCTAGTTACAATTGTGATACAAGTATGATATAATTATATTTTAGTCATTGATGTATCTGATACAATTCAAATACAATTATAATACAGTTATCATACAATTATCATACAATTCCTACAACTTCTTCTTTTTCAAATTTCAATATGAAATTTCACCTAAAATCAACTTTATACTTAACTAATCTCTCTCAAAATTGAAATATAAACTCCAAAGTATATTCTCAATCATTTGCAAGAATATCGAATCCAAATAAATTACAAAATCTGAAAATATGAATATCGAATTCAAAGCTTTAAAACTTTTTAATGGAACGGCATTGGGAATAATTCTGGTAACAATCTGAATGCTTTTTCATTTTCAGTGTTGTTCAGTCTCCGAGCAAAAAGATCGATGCAATTGACGATTTTTGAACAATATAAAGTTGTCGGCAATGGTGGGAAGAGAGAAGATGGAGATTCTAGGCGTAGATTAAGGGATTTTGATGTAAAAAAAAAAAGAGAAAAGAGGAGAGGAAAAAAAAAGAAAAGAAAAGGATGTAATTGAATCCCATTGAAGGCACTAATAATGTGGTGAGAGCCTTTTAAGGAGCAATGTATACAGAAAAACCTAGATACTTATTAAAAACTACGAAACATAGAGAAAATAGGTAAATAAATTTCTAATATAGTATAGCTAAGTTAAAATCCCTTTAAGATCGCCATTATAAAATAAGAAAATAAAAAAGGCTGTACACAAAGCTCTCCATTAAAGGTTTGAGTTTTTGCAAACCGTTTTTAGATTATTAGTTTTGGTTTTAACATAAATCATACAATTAAGTAATATATACATGGAAAACTCCCTGAATATCCTTTTTACCTAACTCTTTGTCTGATGTATAAATTTAATAGTCTTATAAAATTGTTATTTCACCTTATAGACTCTCCGGCCCCAATTAATCTTTTAAATCATAAATCAAATTGAATCGAACCCCAATAATGAAAGAAAATAGTCGGGTGGGGTGGGGNCTAGTATTTTTGCTGAATAAAAAATTTTGAACTTATAATTTTAAAAGTAGAACGAGTTTAATGCTACTAAAATCTTTAGACGTTGAACTTATCAAGTTTAAATTTTGAATTCGCCTTAAACCTCAAACTTCGTCTTAATCATATGTTTCATCTTCTAGCCAATAAGACTAAGCTTATGTAATGCCTGAAAGAACTAAATATATTTCTCAATTCTTATATATCCATAATTACAACATAGGAAAACATTCTCAGATGGTTGCAACTGTTCAGGTTGATGATGCATGAAACCTGAATTCCAGACTAATCATTATATGTACTTCAATTATTTGTATGATTCTGTGAACTGTCACTGTTTTAGTTTACATCATCACACAATTATTATTATTGTATTATGAAAATGGAGTTCTCTTTTCTGGCTGATGTATCTATTGTTCTCTCTTTCTCTCTTGTTTTTTCTTCTTTTCTTTTTTTCGTTTTCTTATCTTCCTTCACTTCTAAGGGTATCTGAAAAGGGAGAATGCCATATTATCTTAATTATCATCAATATTTTAAACTAGCTTTTGAAAGTGATAGGGAAATATAGGAAGGTTGAGTTTGCATTGACCGAAAGCTAATTTACCTTTTTTCTTAGGGAAATAATGGACATTACTGCACCATAATATCAGTAAAAAAGGATGTAAATGCTGTTATTTGTTTTTCTTTATTTAAAAGGAGGATAACTTTTTTTTCTTTTTCAAAAAACTTGAATTGTTGATTAGCTAAATAGATTTAAAATCTAAAATTTTCTTAAACTTACATAAAATAATATAATGAATAATATTATCAAACATTTTGTGTCGTCCCAAAATAAAAGCAGAGTGTCATGTTATTTGGGAAGGAGGAAGCACTACTATTAGTCTATTACGGACGAAACTTCTCTCCATTTCTCTTCTTCTCATTTACCCAAGTTCCTTTATAGATTTATGACATTTGACTTATCTTTATTTCGATGGCCTAGATTTATTTACTTCCCACACTAGTTTTAACCAATGTTTAATAGGTCGATATTATTATTATTATTTAGGGAAAAAGTACTCTCTAATTTGGTAAAAATATTTATTTTCTAAATTCCAAATTTTAAATAAGGTATATTAAAGTGCATCTGTTTTATGTTTCGAATTGACTTTCTTGTCAATAACGTATTCTTAATTTTATGACCATTGTTTTATATTAATAAAATTTCAATGGTTGAAAAAAGGGTGGGGGATTAAAATTGCTCAATTAGTAGTTGTTTTTAGTAGATGAAATGCTTGGATAAATGTTGCGGTAATTTTTTAGTTTAGGCAGAAATTATGCAACCCCGAAATTCTTTTTCCGTAGACATTAACAATAATTATTCTTTCAATTGTCTAGTTTATGATTTTATTGTGAAGTATTCCATGATCCCATCAATTTAAATATAAAAGTATACATGAAGGCTTTTTTAATGGTTGCCAAAATTTTGTAAGATGAAGATTTCCTACCAAATTTAGACAGTACCCTTTTTCCTAAAATAATAATAACATCTACCTGTTAAACCATGGTTAAACCCAGTGTGAGAAGTAAATAAATCTAGGCCATCGATATAAAGATAAGACAAATATCATAAATCTATAAAGGAACTTGGGAAATGGAGAAGAGTTTTATCCAGTCTATTACATACCATTCAAAGTTACGCTAAGTTTTACTCCT